CCCCGATGACGTCATGGACAATCTGATGCACTCGAATGTAAACGCCACTGTTATCTTTTTCAAATAACAGCAAAGAGCATTTCCGAATTCTCGTGGCAAGCATTTCAGGATCTTTAAGCTCTTGATCCACTTTCCTCACGTAATTAACAACAATTTCTATACTCAAAGGGTGTGGTGCACAGACAGAGAGAAAATTAAAAGTGTGCTCCAAAACCTTATCTGTTGCGATCGCCTTCTCAACAGCAAGTGTTGTAGCAGCAGTCATGGAGTTTTTGTAACTTGGGTTGGTTTCAGTAAGCATGGCTTCTGTTGTACTTCTCTTCCCTTGGTTTAGTTTCTTTAAAAAGTCAATAAAACCAAAACTCGAAGATAATCCAGTTTTTCTTACTTCTCTTACATAAGTGGCAGCGCTTGCAAGGGCAAGTGGTTGGTAGTCTAAAACCTGACAAACTTTCTCCATCTCGGGGTCAGTAACTTCAGAAAGGATTTCTAAAAGAGAGCGGGCTTCATGAGGGTCCATACCTTTGCTGACTGAGATATGTTGGATAAATGAGCTTGACAGTGGTATAGCCGCAGTGTCCTGTGTCGTTATCAGCAACTGGCCCCTTGCCCACTGCCCATTTCCTGGATCGGGTAAATTACCATCTAGATGAGACATGCTGGTGACGTTATCAACTATCAGTAGCCACGATGAGTACAGTTCAATTTTTGGGCTGATCAATGTTTTGAGACTTCTGATCTTCTCAATTGTACTCAAATCTTTTGAGGTAAATGTGTTGGTAACAGCGTATTCTGGGCACTTCAGATGGCGAGCGAAAGAGACATACGATTCCAAAAGTGTTTTAGAGTTTCCAGCATTCAGGGTCATCACAAAGAATGCAGTAGATGGAATTTCTTCAGTGACTTCGTCAAAAAAACGCTTGGCTACGAGCGATGCTATCTGCGATTTACCACTTCCAGGATTACCCGATATATATAGGTAACTTAATCTTGTGCACCTTTTCAACTCTTTTAGCTTTTGTATAATCTCAGACACATCAGAATCTCGGTCTGCGACACGATGAGAGGGCTTAGGAGGAAGAATGCAAAATGAAGGAGCATCGCTGTTTAACTGTTCTTCAAGAGTCTGTCTTTGTTCTTCTTTTTCGCGAAGTTCCTTTCCTGTCTCGTGTAGCTTCTTGTCTTTCTCCTGAACTTCTTTCTCTTTCTCCTGAACTTCTTTTTCTTTCTCCTGAACTTCCTGTTTAAGGTCGTCCACGTTCTTCAAAACACGTCTCAGCTGCTCTGTTGGAAAACATTTTTGGGTTTTAAGGTCTTGAATTTCCACAGTGGAAAGACTGAGAGCTTGAAATGTATTCTCCACTTTGCTAATGGCACTTTGAAACTCTACGTAAGAAAGGTGACCTCGTGCGATATGAGCGAACTCTTCGTTCCGAAACAGCCTGAGGTTGTCCACATTTGACCTAACGACTGCATTGAGACTATGGATGCAATCGGAGAAAAGAATGGCGTAAAACAACATGGTACAATCCCAATCAGCTCTGTTGCCTTTGGTCATGGTTGTGAATAGACGAGCATGCTTCCTTTGGTTCCATGGCGACTCGCCGTTCCGAAAGTCCAGTCCATTTTTTGGTAAATCTTTCCATTCTCCTAACGTAACTTTGTAGCGATTGTCCCATTCTTGTTTGAAGATTTTTCGCAGACCTTCGGTCAGGATGTCAGTGGCAACGTAACAGATCCTGTAGTAGTTTAGTTGCTCCTCACTGTATTCCACAGAAGAGGTCATATTTAGCTTGAGTGACTGTTAAAGCTTTATAACTGTCCCTTGCGAAAAAATAAAAGAAGAGTTTATATTATTATTTTTAAACAGAGATGGCTAATCTGCCTTTTGTTTCGAGGGCACATCCTGTATTAAAATTGATATTGCAAAAATGCACCGATCAAATAATTAATAGCGTGTGATTTCATTTAATTTTCTTTCAACGTCTTGATGAAATCTATAACTAGTAGTTGCGCCTACGCTTACGGTAACTTAAAGCGATGCTGAAGTATAAAAACACAGAATTCATGACTCCAAACGAGCAAAATGGAAGACTTTTCTGAATTTTTTCTTAAGGGGGGAGGAGTGGGTGGTTTTGAGAAAAAAATTTCATGAAAGCGCTTGTTGGAAGAAAAACATTGCATGCAGCCCAAATATAACAGAAGAAAAAGAGCATTTAGAACGGAAAAAAATATCCTGCACAGCAGGTTGCTAGAAAAAAAATTTCTTGATGACCAGAAATCCACCCCCCCTCTCGAAAGTTAAAGAGGATTTACTTTTTACATGTAGTTTTTCAGTGAGGCAGTTCAGCGGTTGAAATGCTCATTCAAAGTCATCTCTGTCTCGGCCGCTTGAGTTAATTGCACTGTGAAGGGTGGCAACCTAATGCTGCTTTGACGGATGCCTTTCTGACGCGTACGTTTACCATATTTGCAGATTATGGTATATTGGCTCATATACCATAATGGCTAAGCCAATAAAAAGTCTTGAATTGCATTATCCAATGATCCAGTTTTTAACAACAACTGATATTCTACGATTCAGGATTGCGATTTCATGGTAAAATATCCACAATTTAGCATGATGAAATTCCCATAAAACGCTCACTCTTGATTTCAGTGATATAAATCGTACTAACTGCGGCAAAATGCTCGAGAATCATATGGCAAAGTAGGGATGTTGTCTCCTATGTAAAGACAAAAACTTCTTGTGTGGAATTATCCAAAGGCGTAAGACGAAAGCTAAACTGATCAAAATTACCCCTGACGCACGCGCGAGGTGAACCACATGACGTTCTGTTAATTTTGAAAACACTACCACAACTGGCACATTAATTCTCAATGTGCGTTGACTCGTTTAATCTGCAAACAACTTATAACCTGTCACAAGTTGGTGTGAGAGTCTGATGGACTCCGGCACTTCCGAGAAACGTTTGCATGATCTAAATATGCGCGATAATAGAAAGTGAGAATTATAACTCACGCGATTTGCTAGCGACACGTAAGCAACACGTTTTCAGAGCGACGAATTGTTGAGCGAATGCGTGATGTTTTAGCCGGAAATTCGGACAAGTAAACAGAATGGTTGAAACTCAAGAAACGTCGGCTCTTCTGATTCCCAAACATTACGCGTGCAAACATTTCACTGAGGTTGAACTACAAGTCCAGTTTTAAAATGTTCAATACTTTCATCGACTTCATTCAGCAAGTCCTTTGCTCGCTAGCAGTGCGGAAGAGTGGTATGTTCAAAAGTTGAAAGTTCCTGGTGGTCCATGTCGAGGCGGCGGATCTTCTGACGAGCTTAGATGTCAAATACTCTGGAGCACATCCTGTCATGCTCTTGAAAACCAGAACAGCAAAACGGAAATAACGTAGTTGCTTGACTAATAGCCGGCGCAAGTCTTTTAGCGAAGGAGAGATAAATATATAACAATTATTCACCGAAGGCGAGATGAATATCGTTGAATAATCTCCGAGACGAAGTCGAGCGGATTATTCGACAATATTCACCGAACTTGAGGCGAATAATTGTTTTAGTATAATTTCAGAGCTGAATAACAGAGAAATTTGTAAAGTCATAACATTTTCGTAACATTTATTAACATTTTATTTTGACATTATATATAAACAGCGTGGAGCGGTCTATATAGCGTCATATAAGGAACCGCTCGACCAATCAGATTGCTGGAAACTCTTCGCTCAGCTCTGAAATTATACTAAATCTTATGAGACATTTTGTTGTGTAGTATCGCTGAGTATTTTTGCAAGTTGTGTTGTAGGGCGGGTCAAAATACAAATAACAAGTAAAAATACTCAGCGATACTACACAACAAAATGTCTAATAAGTTATTTATTATCCAACACGCCAAATTGTTATTTCAGTGTGGGTGAATTTCGTGGATATTTATTTACTGGGAGTGCATGACAGAAGTATGCGAATTAGAGCAGAATTGGCACGTTGTCATGTTGCTGTTTTTATTTTCTTCAATAAATAAA